CACCCCCACCCCCAATCCCCAAGAACAAAAAAAACCCCTCACAGCAAACAAGTCTCAATATGAAACAAATACTAATCTGGTTTAACAATGTAATGGCACAGATTCCTCGATGCACGGACTGGCTCAAACAAGCATGTTTCATGATTCAAAATTTTAGTTTTCGCACCAGACAATATTTTGGCTTGATATTTCTATAGAATCCAACAATACCGATTAAAATGAAGTACGATTGATCTACCACTATTGTTCATAGCGCCCAAAGAGAATCGATGAGTTGTGGCCACCAAAGCCAAAGGAGTTTGATAGTGCCACTTTTACATCTATCTTTTCCATCTTAGAACCAACAAGAACATTTGCATCCTGAATCCAAAGATAAATATTAGTGAATCCCCAGCAGAAAGTTTGCATCTGTTTAAGATTTTACAACAATAAGATCGCATTTGGTCTTTAACGTGTGATTTGCATTTCATTTTCCAAGATGTGGCTTTCTATTACTAAAGAAATTTAGAGATTAGGATATAATGGTAATTAAGAAATTTCCTTTGATGAAGAAAGATGTAATCCTTTGACGATCATGGAAACTATGAGTGCACACAGAAGTAAATAAAAATTTTTCCTATCTTAGGATGCATATACATTACCATGTAGATGGATCAATAAAATAACACTTTATTATAATTACTGTTCAATGCCTCAAAAAGGAAGCTGGATCTAATTAGAATTTAGTTCTCAGTTTTATAAATATATAAGAAAGTAGAGATAAAATCATAAAATATAGACAGAGAACATACGACACTTGTGTCTGGATTTTCCAGATTGATATTTGGATGTACCCAGCCAGTTCGAATTGCCTGCACAAAATTTGAAGAAAATTACAAAATAGGTTATTAACTTATTAAGAAGGGAAAATAGTCTGGTACTCAAAACAGTGGTATGAGGAGTTTCATGCATTTTTTATGAGAAATAATCAAGAGACATAATCATTTGATTGGTCAAGAAGTTTGAATTTCTAACCACTTGACTAAGGCTTCAACCAACTGTAAGAATGTGAGACTGGCAGCAACAAAAATGGCAGAAACTAATCTTTAGCAAACACTATGATGGCTACGGTAACAGCAATTTGAGATAATTTCCATCACTTTATATACCAAAGGCCCCACAATATTGTATACCAGAATATACTCAAGTCAAAAGATGAAGGTCTAATAAGTTCCTTATATCTAAAAGTTTCATTCCTTATTCCAGATAGATCCCTGTTGGAGGATAAAAGTGAAGTTGGCAGAACCAATTTAGAAAACAAAGAATAATGTCATTATTATAAGCTCTTCAGGTTATGTGATAACATTTTAGTCTAGCAATATTGGAGTGACTGAAACAAGAGATCCGCAACTTTGGTGTCCACAACTTCACGATGAACCTGACCACAGTAGCTGAAGGGAAAATATACAGGGAAACTTCAGAGTAGAACATATCGGCTAGGTGGACCGAGTACCTCTAGGATCCAGTAAAGAAGCAAAATCATAACAGCGCAAACTAGGAAAAGCTCAGTAAGATATAAACCCTGAGGATGGCACAGGGGTTGCACCAGATGACAAGTTACCATCCTCTTAATTGGAAACATCCCATACCATATCCCAATTAATTTGTTGAGCCAGCTTATAGAGCCATCCCACATAGCGGAAAAGCTTATCGCAAAATAAACAAGACGACAATAAAAATTTCTCTCAAGTATAAACCTAAGATGATGGAGACTTTACATCCTCGTCATAACAACACCCATATGCCAAATCCACCTTTACGTTTTATAACAAAATGATGGTCCATATAGATCCTGTCTAGTTCATGTTACATGAAAAAGTGCCCTTTGCAGATCAGATACAATCACTACATGAACTCTAGCTTTCTAGGTCAATCCATGGTATCAATTGATTGATATAGACACGACTAGTGGTATTTAATACATATCATTGTTATTACACCTATGTTTAATGTTTAAACTTCTCATGAGCTCAGGCTTCATGTTTCTTAATGTAAAGTGACTTCTTGCAAACCTCAGGAGACAGGCATGTTAATAATATATACTATAGAAAATAGGTAAACAGAAGAAGGTTTGAGAATTGCAATACCAGAAGTAGGATAAAACTAGTTAATGGTCATCATGTTCATGAGCAGTTCTAATGTTTTGCTATGGGTACAGTAAAATAGATTTTGAGGCAAGTAAATTATTAGTTAATTATGCATATGAAAATGCACCTGACCTAATAAAATCAATACAAAGTAGCATGGATGTTCTCAAATGTTGTCAAGTTCCACGCGGATAAATGTTTTAAAACAACTATCCCCTTGAAGTGAAAGCATGCTCTCTCTGTTGCAAACTAGAAATTAAGACTGTTTTATGTATGAATTATGATCAAACTCACCCCTAATTCTAATTTGCAATCCAGTAAACCCTAGGTAACAGCGAAGTTAAAGGGGAACATAACTTATTTCAAGCCAATTATATATCCTAAATATAATCATATAACAGTTTCGTCTTTAGATGTGAATTCTTTTAACATCATTCAATACTTTATGCAGAACAACGAGGTTGCATGGGTACGAATATGGGTAGTACGGGACGTGGCAAATTTGTAAAGATAGGGTATGGGGACACGGGTATATTTGTATATGTTATGTATATTTACTATGTATTAAAATTAACAATTTATATACAACCAATATTGTTTTTTATTTACATAAAATCAATATATAAGAAATAGGTGTGAAGTGTAGAGTGTATGTCCAAGAAGCATACAAGTGTTTTAAATTAGAACATGTATTATATAATTGAGTATATGCTTAAACAGACGTATGCATATATCCAAGGTGTCCAAGAATTTTTTCATACAGGTCCTGGTACATGTGGGGTATGGGCACAGCTTCCAAATAGAAGTACCCAGGAAAGATGGCAGGACAATAATGAGATGGGTTTCTTATACATGATGAAAACAAGAATTCATCATGATATTTCTTAAGCTCTGCTAACTTAATTTCTCTTCTCTCTTTTGACACTGGAAACTGATCCTTTGTTGCATGCATAAAGTACAAGACACACCATAATCATGAGCCACCCAACTTGTCCCATACCTCCCTATTCTCTCCCTATTTTTTATGATTACAGTAATAGCAATCACTTTCTTACCTTCCCCCTCCATTTCCTTCCTTTTCTCATCCTTATTTTCTCTCTTTTCTAATAATTCCTCTCAATCCAACAACTATTGTAGCATGTTTTAGGCATAATTTTGCTTTGTTTTCCTCTCTATTAAAATTTATTCATCTGCTCTCCTACCCGTGCAACTCTTGTTCCGCTTTTCCCTGTCCTTGTAAGTTTAATGGCAAAGATGCACAGGTGAGCCTCCACTTTTATTCAGCCTCTGTTTTTCCAATTATACATAAATAAAACTTTCTTCCATCTCTCGACGTGTATCACATAATCTGGTTGAATAACTGTTCTGATCGATTTGCCATTGATCCGCACCTTGGCCAAACCCTCAGAGATGGACAGTTTCTGATGCTGATTATTCTTTTCTCCTTTTAGGCTTTATATAGTTCATTCACAAAATTTATTAGTTCATCCTGGCACACGGTCGAATGTCTTTATACAGTGACTAAGCAACTGCAATCAATGCCCATATAATATTATATAATACATCAAACGAGCCATAACATAGAATTTGATGCTGATTTGTGTCTTTTTTGTACATTTTAAATAAACAATTTGATTTTGGATCCTTCTAGTATTTCAGGGCCTTCTTAACTATATAATCACACTAGAAGTAATTCTATATTTCTATTCTATGGTAGCAACTTAATCCAAGTATAGTTAAAGATAGTTATGTACTAAGTACATCCAAGCCTAGTTTATCAAAATTACTGGTGTACTTTGAATAATAAGCCTACTTTATCAAAATTACAGGCGTACTTTGTAAATTATTCAGTATTCTAATTGCATACGACAATCTCCTGGCTGTTTATAGGTTATAAATTTGTCACTTATTACATTCAGGATAATGAGGCAGAGCCAATTAGATGGGTACACAGACATGGACCAATAACAATAAGTGCACTAGTTGGAAGCTATAGGACAATAGCTAATGGATCAACAAAACAAAGTACACCCAGGAATTAAATAGAGGCAATTGCACCAGCTATGATGGATTTTCATTTATCAGAGAGATACCCGTTGAACAGAAGAAAGAAAACCCCGCAGCTAGACCCAAATGTTTGAAATGAAGTTGTGGCCATTACCGCTGATCTTCCAATATAATCAGATCAAAGCTGTTAAGGGTTTCCCCCAGAAAATAAAAGCTACGATTGGGTACCTGAATTGCAGCAATAGCTTCCACTGCTCCAGATGCTCCTAAAAGATGACCAATCATGGACTTTGTAGAATTCACCCTCAGCTGCAAATTTGTGAGTTTATGAGGTTACAACCAGACAAAGATATATAAAACAAGCACACAGAGATGATCTGAAAAACATGTCAAAGCTCAGTTATACATCTGGACTTTGATTACAGTTTGATGCTCAGAGATCATACCTTGGGATTTTGACCGAAACAACTAATGAGAGCTTGGTACTCTTTCACATCACCAGATAGCGTTGAAGTTGCATGAGCATTTACATAGTTGACATCCTCTCTAGCAACTCCAGATTCCATTAATGCCTTCTCTATGCAAAGAGCAACACCCATCCCTAATTGAAAAGAGAATAGCCAGAGAACTAGTAAGAATATTAGACCAGACAGCACTTATTCAATATTCAATGTAAAAGAGAGATTATTTTTTACCCTCAGGGTGTGGCTCTGTCATATGGTAAGCATCGCAGGTGAAACTTCCTCCCAAAAACTCAGCATATATATTTGCTCCTCTTTTCTGTAGAAAGGAAGAAAAACAATCATGAAAAGGAGAATATTTTAACAAAACATGATTAGATAAAGGCTTCACATCACATCAAGTTAGTGGTAGCTGACTGTAATAAAACCTTAGCATGCTCAAGTTCTTCCAACAAAAGTACACCTGAACCTTCTCCCATAACAAATCCATCACGTTCCTGTCACATGACAGATAACCTAGATATTAACATAAATGCGCCAATTAATCGTAATCTTGATAATAAGTGATTGCACGTCTACACAATAATAAGCACAAACACAAAAAAAGTATCTCCTTTTTAACTCTGTCATCATTCATCTATCTATTCATACACTATCCCATGGCCGTGAAGCTTTGGTTGGATCATTGTTTCTTTGTGAAAGTGCCCGACATGCCACAAAACCTCCCAACCCTGCACACGTCAAGTATACAATTAGTCCTGGACAACGACGAAGACGACGATGTGTATGATGATTTATGATCATAATAATAATAATAGTAATAGTAACAAAGACCCTGAAGGTAAAACAATGAGGAAGAATAGCATTCATTAGCAGAAAGAACAGATACCAATAGGTATTATTGCTGCATCAGAGCCACCACAAAGCATTATATCCTGCAAGATTAGCACACTGATACCAATAGGTATTATTGCTGCATCAGAGCCACCACAAAGCATTATATCCTGCAAGATTAGCACACTTATGTACATAGAAATAATGAGCTGCATCAGAGCCACCACAAAGCATTATATCCTGCAAGATTAGCACACTTATGTACATAGAAATAATGAGTATATTTTCTTCTAACTACAGATAAGAGGGAGAACATGATAACTTACAGCTTCACCTCTTATGATATGGTTAGCTGCATTCAGGATACAGAAGTTGCTTGTGGCACAAGCAGTTGAAATTGAATAGTTCGGGCCCATCCAGCCCTATAGTTCCAAGAGAAGAGAAGAAGGAACTTAGACGAAATTAACAATAAATTCTCAAAAATATTGAAGCATCTGTATGCAAAGGTAGGTTTCTAAAAATTAACAGTAAATTCTCAAAAAATATTGAAGGATCAGTATGCAAAGGTAGGTTTCTTCAGATTCTGCTTTGGCTCACCAGATCCATTGCTAGCATAGCCGAACCCATATTTGTAGTTGCAAATGGAACACAAAAGGGGTTCATCTTCTTGTATGAGACCCTCAAAGCTTCGATTGCATCATTGAAGACCTATAAAAAATAGCATCCATCTTTATGAGTACCACGACCATAACATACAGAAAGGCATAAAATAAAGATTAAAGTGTAACAGCTCAATCCATCAACATAATATGAGACCAAGAGCTGATAAAAGGGGGGAAAACAACTTTCCTTCAGATCAAAAAATATTTTTCAAATTCTACCTTCATGCCACCCATTGCAGACCCGATAAGAACACCACACTTCGTCTTGTCTAGCTCATTCAAAACTTCTTCAGTAATTCCACCATTCGCTAGAGCTTTTTTACCCGCAGTAAGCATGTAAAGCATAAATTTGTCCATCCTCTTAGATAGTTTTGGTGCCACCCATCCATCTGTTGAAAACGATTTAATCTCTCCTGCAATTCTCTATGGACAAAAAGTTCAAATATCAGGGATCAAAAAGGGGTATCACTCTTTACCATGCTTGCTTACAACATATTAGTAAGTAGTAACAGTATGACTATTACAAAGTACTAATACCTGGACTCTAACATGATGCTGTTGACATGGTCAAATGTTTCTATAAATTAATCTCACTTGAAACTAATTGATTATGTAAAACATAAGAAATGTCTACAGAGAAAGTATTTTAAAATGAGGTTATAAACATGAATTATGCAAAGAAGAGGATATACCGTTGGATAGCCGGCACAGTCGAAATTTTCTATTTCACTGATTCCACTTATACCGTTGAGGAGATTATTATAGAAAACATCAGGCTCGTGGCCTAATGGAGTCACGACGCCCATCCCTGTCACCACAACCCTTCTTTGTTTCGTATTAGTTCTTCTCTTCTCTTCCACTTGCTTCGCAGGCTTCACAGCTATTGCTGTCACTTTCCCTGAAGTCCAAATTTCCCAGCAGAAAAAATAAATAAATAACTGCATATTAAGTAGAAGGTAAAGTATCCAATAGCTAAAAATTTATATGTTATTCACCGTATATGAATGATTTATATGTGATCATTTAAGTTTTGAATTTGCATCGCTAGTAATTATGCTTGGGGTTCAGGCTCTAATACTGAGATGATCAAGGCAACAAAACATTGATCCTTGACACATTTTTCTCTTCAAACCCCAAGTTCTGAAACAAAAAACTAATAGTAACAAATAAAAATGAACAAGCCGAATCATCAGTAACGACATTGTTTTATATAGACTTTCAGCTGGGTTGATTAACTGCAAAGCAACCAAATCCCATCATCCAAATCTAATCCGTACGAATACTGGTCCCTCATTTAAACCCCAAATCACTCCATTTCCCATCATTTTCCTTACAAATATCAAACAGTACGACAGTCAATAAATTCAAACAATTTACCAGAAAAAAGATTGAATTTTTTTACCACAGTTAGAAGCCCTTTTCTGCTTTCGATCAGTAACAACCCTCATTGATCTATAGAACTCTTCACAGGGCTCAAATCTGCTCATCAAACTACTGATCCCCGATCCATACAAAGCCGAGACGATCCCCTTCGACGACCTCCGATCGCTGGATCTCCTGTTCTTGAACCGTATCGACGGTGACCTCAACGGCCGGTCGCCGCGTCGCACGTGGAAGACATACACGCGGCCACGAGCCACGTGCAGAGAGGAGAGGCCATTGAAGACGGCCCCATCGATTGAGGAGGAAGGATAGGATTTTGAGAGGTGGGTTTTGGTGGGTATTGAGAAGAGATGAGAACCCACGGAGAGATTTGAGAGATTTTGGGAGATGAGGGTTTAAGAGTGCAGAGAGTTTCAGTGGGAAAAAGACGAGCTCTAATGAATCTGAGAGAGAGTGACAACTGACACAGCCAAGTGCTCGCAAACGAGAAGAGGCCGAGAGGAGAGAGAGAGAGAGAGAGAGAGAGAGAGGGTTATAGAAAATACAAACGAGAGGGAGAGAGAGAGAGTCGCGACCAAAGAAAAGAATGTCGACTAGAGGAAGAAAAAAAAAAAAAATGAGGAAGGTGGCTGAGAAAAGAAAAGGAGGGGCCATTTCGATAACCCAGAAAGCCCCTGGTTGTTGGGGAGATTTGCACATATTGGTGAACTTTACACTGTGTTCGGCAGTTTAGTAGGCAAGGAAAAGGAAAGATAAAATAGGGAAAAGAAAGATAGAGAAAAAGAGAGAAAATATAATATCTTTTTTAAAAGTTTTATAAATGAATAAAGATAACTTCTTTTATCATAATTGAGAGTTCTAAAGAAGAGAAGGTAAGGAAAAAGAATATGATTTCATAATTAAATATTAGTCGATGATCCATAATAATGAAGGGTCAAATACTAAAATATTTGAACTCAATTCTCTTCTCATACTCTACACCCTGATTTAGGGAGGAAATGATAACAAATTTAGAAACTTTTCCTTCCCCTACCTTGCATTGCCTCCATAAAAAATGCTACCAAATAGAGTTAAAAGTATTCATTTCTCTTCCCCTACCATTTGCTGCCCTCCAACCAACATACTCTTAAATCTTAGAAAATCTCTTCCTAAATTTTAGAGTCTCACAAAATCGTATGAACTTTCCGAGAAATTCCACAAATTTAATTGACATTTAAAAAAATTTATCTTCATCTTTCCGTAAATTGTAAGCTTCTGATTTCCGTTTTCTACTTTGTTCTCTTTTTTACGTAAAAACATGTGAGTTATGGCAGAATGTATTTCAAAGTTCAGGTGAAACTTTTCAAAAGTTTGGAGGGGTTTTGTGAGAACCTCTAAAATTCAAGAGACATTTCTCTAGTTTTTGAAGTAGATCTTTTACTGCAAATCACCTCAAAGTTTAGGAATCTTGCGAAATTTTTCTAAGCTTTCATTTATTTCGATCTGTCATAGAAAAATAAAGGCTTTGTCCAGAAAAATTGAACTGTGGTTCCATAGTATTTAATAAGAACCGCACGCGCACCAGAGAGCAGCAAGTGAGAGTGTAAGCTTTCTATAATTTATTTATGGGTTTTAATGTATTAGTCCCCCACATCTTTCATTTTGTGAATTTCGCCCTCAAACTGTTGAAATAGCTATTAGGTTCTCTATTCTTTCTTATCTCTCAAATCGTTGAGAATGCTACTGAGTACTTCAATTCTTATAAATTTTGACAAACCAATCTCTCTAATTGATACAATCACTTTCGATTGGAGGGACTAGTTCAGAATAACTTAAAGCCGTGGATAGCAATTTTAATAATTTGAGAGACTATTTTCAAATAACTTAAGAATTAGAGGGATCTAATATCAATTTTTATGATTTTAGAGACTTACTTCCAAAATATGAAAAGAGTTATGGGACTAATACCAAAATCCCTTTATTTAGTTCCTTATTACCCTTGGATTTTGGTTAGGCGAGCTGAACTTAGACACTGCCCGAGGACTGGGGAGGAGCATAATAAAAACCATGAAATCATGAATCACGTACAAATTTTCGACGTATTCAAATCCTTCTAAATAAAAGCGGACGCTGCGGACCCAGCTTGATGAAAGTTTTCTCTCCTAATATATTTGATGGACAAATTTTCAAAACCAACCCATTTAGGAATTTATTGTCAAAAAACGACCCCATTCAAACAAATTTGCAAAAAACGTAAAAAAAAATTCGAAACTTCACGGGAGTTGAACTCCCGTGAAGTTTACCAGCTTTTAATTAAGCTGCTAAACTTCACGGGAGTTCAACTTCCGTGAAGTTTCACAATTCAAAAAATTTATTTTTGAACTAAGAAACTTCACGGGAGTTAAACTCCCGTGAAGTTTAGTAGATTAATTAAAAGCTGCTAAACTTCACGGGAGTTCAACTCCCGTGAAGTTTCGAATTTTTTTTCAAAAACCGACATGGTTTCAGCGCTGACGCTGAAACTAGGTCGGTTTTTACAAATATCCTAAAAACGGGTCTTTTTTTGCAAATAAAAACTCAAATAGGTTGGTTTTAAAAATTTGTCCTATATTTGATTGGTGGGCATGGTAACTACTGGATCCGGATCCTCTCCTAATAAAAACTTTCCTAATATTTCCTAATGAGTTAATCTTAGCCGTCCGTTTTACATCTACGGCCAAGATTCCTCCCTTCACCGATTTTTCTCTCTTCTTCTCCCATTCACTCACAGATCTCTCTCTTCCTCCCTTCAACTCCCTC